CTTACTGCAGGACCGGTGCGGGCTCCAGCACCGGCCACGTTGAGGATCACGGGTGGAGGTCAGGGTGGAGCAGAGCCCCCAAGGGCTCAGGGTCGTGCTTTTCAGCTTACAGCGGAGGAGGTCAGGGCAGTGCCGGATGCAGCTGCGGGTATGTTTCTTCTTGATGTCTTATTATTTTATGATTATTATGGAGTATTGTTTATCTGCTAGTCTCGTTGCATGGTTTTCGGTATTGTATTCTTTGATTTTGAGGGTTATGGCATGATTATGGGCTTAGTGTTAGAAATTTCGTTGGTTATCATTCATGAGGGTTGTTCGTGGGAATCGGGTGTTGGTCTGGATATCGGGTAGCATCTGCAATCTGAGGAGTCGTTAGCTGAAGATCGAGTTTCTTTCGAGTCCGGGATGATCAATGTGGATGTGTGGTTTGTGAAGGTTGCTCGTGTTAGTGGGAATCGGTTCGCGTGTAAGTGTTTGTGTCGGGAAGGTTTGTTGAGGAAGGTCGGCAATGGCGACCGGTGGTTGATAGTTAGTGCTCTAAGTGGGGGAGAATTGGAGAATTCTCCGAAAAAATCGATGAGTATGAAGGGTCGTTTAGCTGCATGGGATTCAGTAGTGTCTCGGTCAGCCAAAAGCGTGAGCTGGTATGAGTAAGTGGCAGACGTGCGGGGCGGGATACAGACCAAGAGCGATTGATTGTGGAAGGCCTAGGATCGGACCGGGATTGAGTATATGTGATGGAGGTAGAGTTCGGAACCCCTAGAGGGTTAGAACAATATGCATGGGAGGATTTTCCCGAAGGAGTAACTCGGAATGTTGATTGCTAGTTGAGCAGTCCGGATAGACTGAAGGCCGGTAGGCGTACCAGTCAGGCCGAAGGCTTGGGGAACGGTCCAGCCAGACTGAAGGCCCTGGAGGGCGGTCCAGATCTGCTGCAGGTTATGAGAGTGGTCCAGTTTGGTTGAAGGCCTGGTAAGGCGGTCCAGTCATGCTGAAGACTCTACATGTATCGTTAGATCGGTGCGAGGAAATGGATTGAGGAAATGGATACAACCTGTTTGTCAGTGAGTTGTTCACATACTTGTCATAAAGTTTATCCTAGAGCCCAAAAACAGTTGTTTGATCTACTACCTCCCTCAGTACTTCATATGACAAGCTCAATAGAATGCCACTATGTGTCTTCATCAAAACGTCCACCTTCTTTTCATCCTCCATGTCTTTAGGTAGTGTTGCCTCTCCTTCCGGTGCCGTTGCACATCCTTGTTGGACCCGAAAAGCGTTCATCTTCACCTTCCGTAGTGTAAAGTCATTTGAACCATTGAATTTCTTCAAATCAAACTTGTGAGTAGACATCTTCAATCACAGGAATACAAACCACAACTTTGATACCACTTGTTAGGAAGTAAAGCGAATAACTAGCAAAACTATATGCATACAGTACACATTATTTAAATGGTTCTGTCAAGATACAAAATGAGCTAGCATGCATCCTTATTTATACTTGAGGGACCAGACGTAAAATCCTAATAGGCCAAGCCCATTGGGCCATAGGCCTATGAAAGGTGTCGACCAATCACAGTCCGCCATGTAACACCTTCTGGAACATTCTTCCATGTCATACAACCTATGCGCATCGTAAACAAACATGATGGAGCACCTTGTGAAATAGCGAAGCATCATGATGTATAAGTGGCACATCATGAACACTAATGGCCCAGCATCCATCACGATGGCACAACATGATGCAATCCTTGAGCAATACCAACTTCTGAGCATCCTTAAATGATCTTGAGCATCATATAGGACTTCATAGCATACTTGGCTCATAAGAGACCAAGTCCATCTTGCGCAATGATCGCAGAACAAGTGAATGGATGGTGCAACAGGCTTCAAGTGTGGCGCAAGAACATCAAGGTTGGAGCAACATCACCATATTGGCATAACAAGAACATGCATGATGCAACAAGGCCATGCTTGGCACAAGAGGGAGTATCACGATGCAGGAGGGAGTATCATAGCATAAGAAGGAATGTCATGGTGCAACAACATCCTTCTTGTCCCATCCCTTTATCATATGGCGCAACATGGTCCCCTTGTTGCTCCATATCACTCCCAAGTGCTCCAAACCTCTTCCAGGTGCTCCAAACCCCCTTTTACATGATCCCTTCCTTTGTCACTTGATCCTTCCTTTGTCAGATGATCCATTCCTTTCTCAGATGATCCGTTCCTTTATCAAAAGCTCCATGAACCACAAGTGCTCAATCGAGTTCCAAGTGCTCAAAATGCTTTACGAACAAGATCTAAATGCTCCATGAGTATGATCCAAATGCTCGAGTCACATTTAACAAGACTTTTTAGGGGCTATGCCTTTAGGGGCGATAGAATGGTAATAGCGGCAACCAACTGGAGGGAAAAGAATGCAGACTCTTTAAGGAATATTAGTGGCGATGATATTGCCTCAAGTGATGTCGTCACTATTAGCGATGACACGGGCTTTTAGTGACAATATTAGATGAGACAAACCGAGATGAGACACACCAAGTGTTGTTGCTAAAACTCTTGTCTTCGCAAAAAACGACATCGCTAATTGTATCTTTTACTATAGTGATTTTTATGTAAGATATATATGATATCTAGATATTAGGTAGAACGTATTCTATTGTTTAAAATAAAAAAATTAATAGGTAAATCATAATCCATGACGACACATAAGTGTCACTTGACCACGTTAAAGTGAAACCCTTCTACGCTACAAGCTATATCAATCTCCGTTACTATTACTGGTGAAATGAGCTAAGGGGGTGTTTGGTACAGTAAAAAAAATGAAAAGAAACATAATTCATTTTTGTATAGTGAAATAAAGGAAGAGAAATGGAATTCATTCCATTTCACATGTTTGTTTACTAGCAAGAATAAGGAAATGGGAGAGAAAAAACTAATTCTCATTCCACCTAATTAATTATCCACATGTTAAAGAGAAATGAGGAGAAAAGGCAAAATAAACACATGGAGAAGTAATAATAATAAAAAAACAGAGACCAAGCTCATTTACCGTTCAAACCCTATGTCACTTTTTATCATCAAGGTCTACTTTTTATTCTATTTATTAATATTTAATATTTATGTTACATAATTGTTTTAACATTTCACACACACATACATATATATATATATATATATATATATATATATATATATATATATAAATAAAAGTTCAATAGAGAATCATAATTATTGGTTCTCTAAGAAACCAAATATTTTTTTTCAAGTTCTAGAGCTTATTCTTTAACGAAAAAAAAATTAAAAATATTTAAATTCATAACTTAACATTGTAAATATTAAATATATTTTTCGGATTCACCGTGTGAATTTAGATTCACATTGTGAATTTTCAAAGATTCACATTATGAATTTGACGGAATTTTTTTATCGAATTTGATATCATTGGAAAAAGAATAAAAAGTTATGAATTTTTGTATTTTTAGTTTTTTTTTTTATAAAAAATAAGTTCTAAAAATTGAAAAAAAATTAGTTCTTTGATTCCTTGGTTAATTATGTTTCCCTATTGAACCTCATCATATATATATATATATATATATATATATATATATATATATATATATATATATATATATATATATATATATATGGGAAAAGTGAATATACCCTTAAGGTTATATAAGCTTAGGTACCCAAACTTACCATAATACGTCATTTTCTTATATATATATTTATTATAATGTTCTTAAACTTCAACCTTAACTTGATTTACTTTCAAAATATTCGAAATTTCACTATTATCTTTCTCGTAAATCACATATTTTTGCCGAACATCTACTAGGCCATATATATTGTAGTTGATAATGAAAATTATGTAAAAGGAAGATAAATATTTAATTTACAAAAATCTTGGAAGTACATCAAGTTAGAAGTTAAATTATAAGAACATTGGACAATTAAAATGTTTTATATGATATAAAACGACTTAGTATGATGAGTTTGGGTACCTAAGCTTATATATCCTTAAAGGTATATTCACTTTTCCATATATATATATATATATATATATATATATATATATATATATATATATATATATATATATATATATATATATATATATATATATATATATATATTATCCTTTTTGTTTAAAACATGTTTGTCTTGCATTAGAAAATATATATGTAGAATGTTAATTAGCAATTATAAAAAAAATACTTGGCAGAACGAACGTTATTGACAAAATTAAAAACTTAACTAATATATAATTTGACAAATTAATATATAACTAATAATGATATTATTACAAAATTAAAACGTTGTTTAAAAATTTGTAAAAAGCTTAATTATATTTTCTTGTTTAATACAACCAAACAAAAAAAATTGCCACATACATTTATCTTGTGAATTTTTAATTGTATCAAACAATAGAAACAATTATTTTTCTCTGATTTAATTATCTTTCTCTACATTTCTATTTAATTCCATTTCTCTTACCAAACTCTGTCTCAATGCTCTTTAAAATCATTTATAATTTTAAGGATTTGAACATCTAAAAAATATATTAGTGAACAAATTGGATTTAGTTTGTTGGCTTAACAGTGACATGAAACCATTTTTATACAAACAATTTTCTATTATTTATTTTTTCATTTTTATAAAAAACAAGCGATCCATAACTCCTAGACATGATTAGAGTATCCATAACAAAATACTTGATTTCAATGAAACAAAAACCCTTGAAATGAATATACATACTAACGTACATATCTATAACAAACTTTATCCTATTTAGGTGTAGTACATTAAAATTTAAATATGGTGCAAATCTTTTGAATTAGAAAATGAATATTCGTCTAACAGGATCCCTCAGATTTCTCCTTACTTCACATTTTCAAAAGTTAAAAAGAATTCATTTCCATGTTTAGTTTTTAAAACTCTGATGGTTATTTCTATCCCGCAATCCATACATTCATCACATCCTTTGTTACAACTACATGTCTTTGAAGATGTCCACAAAGGCTGAAAGAAATGCAATTGGAATTGATCTTGGAACAACCTACTCCTGTGTTGCTATCTGGTTTGATAAGCATAATCGAGTTGAGATCATTCCCAATGAACAAGGTAACAAGATTACTCCATCATGCGTAGCTTGGAACAAGACAGAATTCTTAGTAGGTGAGGCAGCCAAAAATCAAATCAGCAGAAATCCTAAAAACACAGTTTTTGGTAAGTTCGTTCAACCAAAAACCCTAGCCATTCCCTTGTTTTACTATCTAATCTATGAACCGATGAACTTTATGCCATTTCTTTTACCAATTTCCAGATGTTAAACGCTTAATGGAAGCCAATTCAGTGAAACTAGGGTGCAGAATGACATTAAATCATGGCCTTTTAAGGTAGTTGAAGGTTCTGATGATAAGCCAATGCTTGTGTTTGAAAACGAGGCTGAAAACAAGAAGCTTTCCCCTGAAGAAATATCGTCCATGATTCTAAAAAGACTGAAAGAGTCTGCTGAAGCATACATTGGAACAACATGTAGAGATGCAGTGATTACTGTTCCTGCATATTTTAATGACAAACAACGACAAGCAACTAAGGACGCTGCTACACTCGCTGGCCTCAATGTCATGCTTTTGATTAGTGAGCCCACAGCAGCAGCAATTGCGTATGGAATAGATAAGAGTGCTGACAAGAATCGTCAAGAAAAGAATGATTTGGGTGGAGGAACATTTGACGTGTCTCTTCTTAATATCAGCAAGGCTGGAAACACTAAGCTGTCAAGAGGTAAAGGTTTGCTTTAACATAGATGCCAATGGCATTCTCCATGTCTCCGCTGAAGTGAAATCCACGGGGTAGTACACAAAGTATAAGAATTGATAAGTGGAACTTTGTGTAAGTATTAGAATATGCTGAAAAGGTCTAGCAATAATTTATTAACTCAAGGTTTTAATGTGTGTTGGTTTAGTTTTGTGATCCTTTTTGAGCTGGAGACTTCTAAACACCAGTTTCTGCATTCTGGATTGGTCTGTGAACATTTTACTATTGCTGAAGGTTATGTAATAGCTGCCTTTATTATCTATTTTGTGTTTTTTTATCTATATCTAAATGAATCAAAGACTAATTGTATCAAAAATAGTCATATAGTGTGGTGCTCCTTTATATTGCTATTTGATTGTAACTAGAAATTGTGTGCTCTCTGTTGTACAAAATGAAAGTACAACTATTCTTAATTTTTTAGCAAAGACAAAGGTTTTCTTCTATACTAAAGACAACGAATGGAAACCCCCCAAAAAAATGAGATGGGAAAATGAAGTAGCATGCAGGAATGCAAAAACCCTGAAAAAAGTGAATTCCGAAAAATATAGGATGCTATAACATGAAAATTGTTTTAACTAGAATGCTACAATACACAAAAAAATAAATAAATAAATTGATATTTCTTACATATGTGGTAAATTAGAAGGTATCTCAACAATAACTTTTAAACATATCTTTTTTTTTTTTTTTTCATTTGATCTAACATGTTAATTACTGTCATGTAATAGCAAGAGTTAAATTATATCATGTAACATTGAGAGGTGGCATGTCCTTTTAAAGGATATATTTTAATGAGTTATATATTTTTTTTGCCATGCATGTCCCCTTCCATTTGTGTAATACATTTGTCTCAATTCCAAAATAATGTTTGCATGTCATAAAGTTATTTTTATTCAAAATTTGCTAGCTTCAGTAGAATTTGTGTTGGCCACTTACACAAAAACAATTTCTGCAGTGACAATATTGGGAAACATCCAGAAAAAAGTACGGAAATCTCTGAAAAAGTATCAATATTTTGAGCCAGTATACGATTTAATCTCAACATTTAATTTTTAATATAAGAGTTTTGGTTATCTAATTTTATACGATAATTTATCATTTCAGTTAAAAAAAAAGGATTTTTTTGTTAATTTGGACAAAAATATAAACTAATTGAGTCTTTTCTATTTAAAAAATAAAAGTCGAGAATAAATCGTAAACTGACCTAAAATATTGAAACTTTATAATAGATTTACTAAAAAAATATAATTTTTTTATCTAATTTTTAAGAAAGGTATACATGTTTAAACATTAGATTTGTAACAATGAAATACATCTATCATAGAGGTACTTCATTCTTACAAATCTAATGTTTAAACATGTATATCTTTTTTAAAAATTGGATAAAAAATTTATATTTTTTTATTCCATACATCTATCATAGAGGCTCTATGCCTAAATAGCTCTAGTGAAATATGGATAGACAACCATCACATAAATGATCAAATCAACACCATTGCTACATAAGCCACACACATCATCATTAGGATCATCACTATAAATATCTACAAAATAAAAAATCTTCATTTCCATGTATCCTTCTTTATTCCATACATCTATGTGACAATGCATCAAAGAATTTTCAAACTGTCAAAAAAATTCAGATACGGCTACCTAGATTTGCCTTATGCATGAAGTTGAAACTTTAAAAACACTAAAATGTTACAACCACAATGGACTCCGTCTTTTGTAATCCATTCTTCTTTGATTACGTGCGTCTTTCTATGGCATATATTCTAGTTTTGCACTCATTTTCACTATTCCAGAAACAATTAGCCATGAAATCAGGGTTCGATTCTATAAATATGAAACAAAACTATCATTTTTGGAGAATTCCCCTCGCTATGAACTAATAAAATGCACCTGCCAAGTTTTTTACTTTTTCGCCCCTTACCATTAAAAAACAACTTGAGTATAGATGGTGGTTGTCGAGACCAACGAAATAAATAACCTTAAATCCTGTATACTAAAATAATTTATAATGGTAAAGGGATGGACTCCATGAATATTGGTTCAATTTGTTAGTCAATGTAAACCTCTTTGTAAAAATGATAATCAAAGTAAAATGAGGGTTTTGGTATTTTGTTGTTTTTAAAGAAACTAGAATTACATTTAAATATGGGAATTGCAAGTAAACAAGTAAAAAAGTTTGATTTAAATCAAGAAGAGAAAGATGGTTGATATTAACATGCACCACATGGACAACTAGTTAACTTATCATTAGATGTTATGATGCAATACTTGTAATTTCATTTAACTTGGCTATAAAAATTTATAAGCGTAAATCACCTAAACTCTTCTTTGTTATTAAAATGGTTAGAGAAGCTCATAACACATTTTCTTAATCAAAGTCACAAAGTTAATGAAGCATGTAATTTTGTCAAAATCAATTACATTAAGTTTTAAGAGTGTGACAACTGTCAAATTTCAGTCAAGTCAAAGTCAACTAAAATCAACAAGTCAAACCGTTTGACTCAATTGTCCCTTGGGTACTAGAATTTACATTATGAAACTTCTACATAACTCTCTATTCTAATGAGAAATCATAAAGCAAAAAGTGCGAACACCTAGATCTCCTTAACCTAAAACTGTGGTATGTGGCGAGCCAAATCGATAAAACAATGTTGCATACTCATCGGGAGTGTGTAAGATCCTTAAACAAGGCTTAACAGGGTTTACGAACCATGCATTGCGATGTCGGAGACTCACAATTGTCACACATGGAACCTCTCTCAATCGTTTTCACTCTATCTCTCTATGACAAATCTCTCCCAAATCTCTCCAAGTATGTGAAATCTCTCTCAAATATCTATCTGTATTAGAAATCTCTCCAAGAATGTCAAATCTCTCCCAAATCCCTCTAAGTATGTGAAATCTCTCTCAAATATCTCTCTGTATGAGAAATCTCTCCAAGAATGTCAAATCTCTCCCAAATCTCTCCAAGTATGTGAAATCTCTCTCAAATATCTCTCTGTATGAGAAATCTCTCCAAGAATGTCAAATCTCTCCCAAATCTCTCCAAGTACGTGAAAACTCTCGCAAACATCTCTGTGTATGAGAAATCTCTCCAAGAATGTCAAATCTCTCCCAAATCTCTCCAAGTGTGAGAAATCTCTCCCAAATCTCTCTCAAAAGTTTCCCGTAACTTTTTAGAATCATTCGGGTCATTCCGACCCTTAACCGGGTCAAAAACGGCTTAAAACGGGGTAAAAACGAGAAAACGTGACCTTAGGAACCGAAGCCCTTCTTAAGGAGCCGAAGTTCCTTAAGGCCGAAAGTACCCTGGACGAACCGAGCCTCTGTTGGCCGAACCCGGAGGACCGAATCACTGTAGCGAAGACCGAGTCTCAGTCTCTGTCTCTATCGCTTCTCGCTCTGTCGCTTCGCCTCTCTGTCGCTTCCTCTCCTCTCTGTCGCTTCTTCACTCTCTGTCTCTACCCGCCTCTCGGTCTCTGTCTCTACCCGCCTCTCGGTCTCTGTCTCTTCCCTCCTCTCGGTCTCTGCTCCTTCTCTCCTCTCTGTCTCTTCGCGCCTCTCTGTTCTTTTCTCCCCTCTTGGTTCCTGCCCTCTCTCTTCTCCCCTCTCGGTTCCTGCTCTCCCTCTTCTTCCCTCTCGGTTTCTACCCTCCCTCCTCTCGGTTTCAGCATCAGAAGGCCGAACCTCGGCCAGAATTCGGAATTTGGTCACTTTTAGCCCATTTTTGATATTTTTAACATTTTAAGCCCGTTTTTCGTGATTTTAAAGCGGGATTTTCTCCAGAAATTATATTTTAACATAATAAACTCTAAATATTCATAATTTAAACATATTTTGATGAAAATCATTATCTAAATAATAAAAATCAAATGGGTGAATTATTAAAGGTGGAGTATTGACTTTGCCTTATCCAATGTCACAAGCAACCACCCCACACCCACTCTATGACCAGCCATACCTCCCCACCTTACCTAGGTCACTTCAATGTCCCTTACACTCAATTTACACTCATTCCCACGTTTTTAGAGCTGGAACAAACATCCTCTCTCCTCATTTCTCTCATTTGCCTCATTTCACTAAGTATCAAACACCACTTTTCTCTCAAACTTTTTCTCCACCAAACTCGAGATTCAAGGCTGATTATCAAATGTTCTTCCACATTTGGTAAGCATAATCCATTCTCCTTGTGATTATCTCACTTATTTCCACACAAATCAAAGATATCTTACACAAACTCCATCATATTTATGTTAGATCTTCAAATCTTCAAGCAATCTTCCCAAGTGTTCTTGAGTTGAACACCCCTTCTCTCCATCATCCATCCATTGAAATCACTCAAGGTGAGTTCATACCCCTACATTTTCATGTTTTCTCAAGTTTTCAGGGGGGGGGGGGAATACAAGTTAAAACACCAAGAACATAACCAAATTTTCCTAACAGCCTTCATCAGAAAAGTTCAACTCCATTCACGGACTGTTTTGGGCATCTTAAGCATTTTTGTTTTCAAAACTGTACAAGGTGCAAATAGTTCAAGTTTTTAGCTTTAAAATGACTACTTGCACATCTCCATACGATTTTTCTACAATTTATGGTGATTTTTACAAAACTGTCTATCATTTCAAACAACGATCCGGACCAGTCTGTGATTTTGGACTTTTTCACCCAAGTTGGAGGTTATTAAAAATCGTGATAAAAAATTATGAGTAAACTAGACACATTTTTTGAACTCTCAGAATTTACGGATCTAGTTTTCGACTTCGTATGATTTTTCTATGATTTTTCCAAAACAGTGCAGAATGGCTAAAGTTAGCCAACAGCATATAAATATCATAACACTTTGTATTATGTTGAGCAAATTGTATAATCATAAGTTCTAATTATTGAATGTGTTTCCTTGTTAGTTTGTCATCATGAACTGAAACTAAGTAATTCATAATATATATTAATCATTCATTTTAGAACACGTATA